CCGACGTGGGCTCTGTAAAAGAAATTGCTTCAATACAGCTGACAGATGTTATTTGTTTTTTTACCGTTGCTTTGCTCAATCGCTTGGCATTCATGCATTTTACTATTCGCTGATATCGTAGCTCTATAGAAGTGGAAACCTATATGGCCATCCAAGGATTATCTCAACATTTTGCAGTTACTAAATAAGAACTATCAACCCCTCTGTCATAGGTCCCTTGTTCCAAAGGTATTGTTTGACACAGCTGAGTCTAACCCTTTGATTAAATACTATTTGGATTTTGGTGCATTATTTTTTATATCTTACATTTAATACTTACATTTAATAGGTGGCTCTATATCAAAAATGACTGATGTCGTCGAGAAAACGTTGACGGGAACAACATTTGTACGACCACTGCGAGATGTTACCTCCGCAGAGATTGCTGTCGCACTACGGTTGGAAAATGTGGAGAATTACGTACTACTTCCAGAGCTAAAGGTTAACTAATCTCCCTGCTATCTTGCTTATTTTATTGTTAGTTTTGATAATGATTTCAGTCTGGATTATCTCCTAACCTGCATTTTTGCGAAGCATCGAAGAAGAGATCTTTACAGGAAATGTCTTCTGCCTTTCTAGCTCACTTCATAAAAGAAGGATTTGAGGTGAGCTGACGCTTGAAAGTTGTAGAGTTAGCTCAAAAGAAAAACTTTCATAGATTTCTGAGGAGGAATTTTCTTCCGATTTTCCAGCAAATGTCCTTGTGTCATTTCTTTTTTCAAACTATTTTTTCCAGAGTACAATCCCCACGGTTCTTGGCATCTCAAATAAGGTTCATTCACCTGTTGAAGAGTCTTGTTGTTCTATATGTGACTACCCTACTAGTGGTAAGGAAAAAATTTGTTATGCTTGTTCAAATATCACTAAGAACATGTCGCCTTCTCTTGTTCATCACCTTTGCTCTGATTTTTGATTTCAGTTTTTTTTTTGTGCTAGGAATGTTTACTTCATCTGTTTTGTTGGGTGACTCTAATTTTATCTGTTTTAGCATCACCTTCATTGTTGATTATGATTGTTGAAACTAATCATTTTATGCTATGAATGTTTGGTTATGAGATTAGATTCACTAGTTGCAAAGGAAATTCATTGAGAAGCGGACACTTATTAGT